TCTTAGTCCTCACGCATTCTTGCCACAAAGTTCTGGAAAACTGCCACTTCTTCCATTTGAAACATCCGCATCAAATCATTTTTATCGCACAACCTGGTAGCCTTTTCGTCATCTCCAATGGTTTCGTCCAGCATTCCCTTGCTTCTGAATCCGATCAATTGCAGGTGGTCCAACCGCAATCAGCGGTGTTGCCGCCTCTTGAGCCATTAAGACGTCTCATTGAAAAATATTCTCAATTCAATAATAATGATGATAATAAGTGGATGTTGCGCCGACCGACAAATAACTATCAAATTAACATGGATTTTCAATTTTAATTCTATAAATTGGACGGGGTGTCTACTAAAACAGGCTGGCCATAAAGCAGTACTTTTACAGTACTTTTTCAGTACATTCCCAAGAAAATCAGTACCTCCTCGACAGAAAAATTCAACACTTTTTCAGTACCTCCATTTGACGGAATTGGAGCAATTTTAAAAATTTTAATTTCCCGCTCATATTGCGACAAAAATTGAAAAAAATTCCGAACCTTCTTCCGGAATTTCCGCACTTTTTCAGTGCTTCCGGACCGCCCTTAAAAAATCATTACTATTTCCGGACTTTGCGGAAATTCCAGACTTGTAGACACCCTATTGGCCTATTTCACGTCCTAGCTTTTCATTGTCGGGAAGTATTCATCTCAGAGTAATGAGTATGGCGCCCCAGTCAGCGGCCGAGATGGAAACTCGATTTTCTTAGGTTGCTGAAATAATTTCACAAGCATGCGATGAAAGTACATGATGAAATGTTGCATCCCTGCAGAGCATAGGCTGAGCTGAGAAGCGGGCGAGGAGGACTCCCGAATGTCCGTGCACACATCATCGCAGGACATACTCAAAGACAAGCGGCAACTCAAGAAACATCTCTTACAGGCGCTTTTAATGGTTGTTCCCTTGTTCCCATGACCGAGTCCTGGCCGTGTGGTGGTTTACAGGGGTCAAGAGCTCTGTTCGTCTCCTTGAAATATCACGAGGAGGAGGTGACGGTGATGTGGCCAAAGACAATAGGTTCAATGAAAACTCCGCACTTCGATTGTTTCCCTATTATTTTGCACTTCTCGTCGACAATGATGGGTCTTCGTCTTCCGACTCTGCTCTCGTCTCATCGCATCACTTTCTGCGCCCATTTCTCACGGTGAACTAAACAAGATGAGCTCAAGAGAAGAAACCAAACAACCCATGTAGCATATACGGATTTTCCCGGCCAAATTTCATATTGTGTGACAGGATCTGTTAAAAAGGGCCTCATTTTCCTGGAGCAAATCATCCAGGAGAACCAAATTTAGGGGAAAAGGTTAAAATTGGCAATTTTTAGTTCTCACGGGAAACGCTCTCTGTAAGCCTTGGGAACAAGCTACACGCGGTTTTGGTTTAATTCTCTTGCCACAGAGGGCGCTAGCGGCTCTTTTTCTGTGAGCATATCACAATTCTCAACCTAAAATTAACTTAAGACTTCCACCCACAAATATAACTCGAAATTTAATAATTTGTCAACTTCAGAACTCGGAACTTGATACCCCTCAATATTTGAGTTTTCTTGGTCAAAACTGCGTCAAAACGTCCAGATTTGCTTCCTCTATGCAGTAGTGCCATTAACTCAATTTTGTTGTGTTGCTGCGAAAAATCGATCGCCGTAAAGACAGTATATTATAGAGACCCGCGATAACAATGTAAGCAATTCAACCAGGTAAAGCTGCAGTTAAGTTTGGAGGCCACGGCTAATTTTTGTCTACTGAGGATTGATGAGCATGATTTTGAACAATAAATAAATCGAATAAAATTCGCCTAATGATAACTGGTAAATGCCGCGAGGAGAATATTTTACCAATTAGGTTAAAAACTAGACCAATTACTCAACTCTTTGGCCATCAGTCACATAATGCGAGGCTGAGCGTTGACTTCCTTCAGTAACTTTTTAAAAAAGATAAGAGTGGAGGCTCTGTAAAATATGTGTCTCTTTTTCACCATGAAATGTAGTTCATCCCTGATGTCAATGAATCGAGATTTTATGTTCACAGTCCTGGCGTGTTACATATTATAAAAAAAGATTAGTTCCACACGAAAATTTAAAAGATACTTACAGAACTGATAATATTTTAGAGGGCTAGCATATCCTGTGAACAAAAGAAGAAAAAATTCGTGAGACTCGATTTTTGTACATGACAGTCGGTGTAAATACTACAAATCTTTATTGGAACATGGCTTACAATCCACCAAAAAATTAAGAAGCTCTGCCGTATTTACGCTCAAGAGTAGCTATGAGAACCGATAGGAAATGCAGATGGTGATATGGAAAGAGTGAAGAAAGGCGTTAATAAAAGCGAGGTCAAGATACAGAATAAAAAGGAACAGGAAATGTGAGAAAACAACGTCCGCCAGGATTTTATTGCACATCCTCAAATCCGCGGCGCTTTTCTTAAGAGTGTAATTGTGCACTTCTTGAGCTACAAATTTTTCTGCCCATTAAAATGATTTTGACCTAAGAACCTCATTCGCACGAGGAGTTTCAAACGGCATAACTTATGTGACCTCATTTTAAAATGAAGCAGTGATATTGAACTAAGTTCCGCAAAACGACAAATCAACCGAAACACGCGCAAGGTGTACAATGAACAGATGCTGAAAATATTGCTAGGAGTAAAGATAAATGTAAATCTTAGTTGGTTTAAGGTAGATAAATCTACTTTTTTTTTTAAGAATCTGTCTTTATTAGCGAATTTTTTCCAGCTGTAACGAATGTCAACAGGGTGTCTACTTAAATTAGCTGGCAAAAATTTAGATCATTACTTTTTCGGTACCTTTCCTTTAAGTTGATTGGATTTGGGTACCTGTTATTTACTTATATTTCTTACCGCGTGTTTATTTATAATTCTTCTATAAAAGTTATCCACTTGCTAAATACAATCCTGGCATGAGCACACTTAAACTATGCGGTCAAGATTGCAATAGCGGCAAAAGAAAACCGACAAGACCAGCGAGCACTGCTAAGGCGCAGCGATACAACTGTTCGAACTCTTCAGAATGCGTAAGGTATCACGCCACAATTGAAGGCATTTTCGAAACCGCCAACTTTCTATATTGGGATTTTTGTGTCCTCAAAATAGGGTCTACTAAAACTGGCTGGCGAATGTTAATTACTTTTACAGCACTTTTCCGGTACCTATCCAAAAAATTTGGTACCTCCACAAACAGAAAAATTCAGTATTTTTTGGTACCTTTCAGTGGCGAAATTCAAAAATTGTCGAAATTCATGTGTAAATATCGAGAAAATGAGGTAGGCAGGAAATTCGAAGCTCATTGATGGCCTGAGAATCAACTGGCTTCACACTCTCGATCTAGCGGGAAAATACTGCACTAAGAATCATTGCGCAACGGATTACAAGGCTATTTTAAAAAAACGCCCGCGGCATGAAGCAAAAAATTCCGGACCTTCACAAAGAACCTCCATACTTTTTCAGAACTTCCGGACCGCCCTCCAAAAATCAGTGGTATTTCCGGATTTTCCAGACCGGTAGACACCTTGACATTATTTTAACTATGTAAAGAATTTGATGTATCTCTGATTTTTTTTTTTTTTTTTTTTCCCCAGAATATCTTACTCCCATTTTCCACATCACGAGTTGCCATGAAAAAGTACTCAAAACTCAGCTTGTTCATGGGGTCGAACATTTGATCAATAAAAATTCGCCAAGAGGATAGGCAAAAGAAAAGAAGGGAGGGTTAGTTGAGACTGAATAGAATTCTTATTAAATTGTTCCAGCCCTTGGATGGAATGAAAATGAGCTTCACAACGAGAGCCACGCCCCCTTAATAAAAGGCTCCTTCTCGGGAATAAAAAGTGACAGGAAAATACCTAGTCTTGAGCAGTAAACTAGACTGGAGTGTGTATATCTAAAAGGAGACCGTCTAAAAACTATAAAAAAAGAAAGAAGAAAAAATCCTATGCAGCGACTCATTCAAAGTATCAAATTCGCAAGATCTAGAATGAAGAAATTAAAGGGATAATTGATACTTGTGAGAAGTCGGGTGACAGCGGACCCCGCCTTTTCTGCTTAATTCTCAGCACTGCACTTCATGAAATATGAGGCTTGCATAATGCACCAGCAGTGCGATGCAACTGCGTAGATTCGCTTACCAGTAAAAATTCTTTCACATTTAACACAATCAAAAATAATGCTCGACTCCTCTGCGGTGAAAATGAACTGATCGAAGCAGAATGAAGACTTTCACTCAAATAAAAAAATGGAAGACAATTAAACGAAAGCAGAAAAAGGAGGAGAAAAAAGAAGAAAAAAGTAAAAAAAAAATGCTTGAGGTAAGAATTGAGAGAACTGGTTTGAAATCCAGCGAGCTTGCAGAATAAAGGAAATACCACGCATTCACATTCAAATAAAGGATAAAAACAAAATTATCTGGTGAAAACCTGCCCTCGCGATATTCAATACAAATTATTACTGAAAAGAAGACACGTGCGCCAATACTACAGGCTAAATATAATTTTTTTTTTTTATCAAATTGGGTGTCTTGTTTCGTACTTGGAATGCTTCATCAACCACTTTCCTAAGGTTTTGGCTGTCCAAAAGTTTACGTTATGTAAATCCGAGATTCTGCTTAAGCAGAGAAACAAGATTAATTTTATTTCAGATTTGGCGGAAAATGGTGTTTTTAACAAGTATTTTAGTTTGAATTTGTGTAGATGAAGTCCTGGCTTAGTAATGCTTGTGTTTCAAAAATTGGCATCAATTTGGAGAGAGTAATAAGCACTGTGCTTTGCCCAAGACTCCGCAATGACACATGACAATGCGTAGAGCACGAGATCGCGGGTTGTACGTTCGGCAATTTGAGAAGGTGCACGTCGGGCCGCGCCACGCGCCGCACAGTTTAATGAGTCCAGTAGACAGCATTTTACAATTTGGACTACATCTGGCTCAGTTTAGAAACGACGTATGTACCGTTTAGTTTCCCTATGCAAGTGAGTGTTTTGGACTTGAAATTGTAGTTCCTAATTGCTAAATCTAGTCCTCATAGGAGAGGTAGGACACACCTCTCCTATATAGACTACATTTTGAAATTCGGAACTTATATTTCTGTCTCATATTGGAAACAACACAAGTGTCATTAGTTTGCAAATACGAGTAGGTGCTTTTATAGACATACTGGAAATATTAGTTCTTGTTTTGCAAAATTCAGTCCGAATCACAGACTAAAACTGCAAATTGCAGTGGTTATTTTGATATTTAATAAATTTTAAGGAGTGCTCACAACTCATAACAATAAATACCAAAGAACTGTAATGGACCGACTTTCAAACTTCTGCGTTTCGTTTTGACGATAATATGAGCTTTTACGGTTTCAAGATAAGCCTGATCTTCTCGTCAACTCGCTCCACCGTGCGCCGCCACGCGCCGCGTCGATGCAGTTGCGAGCTCACTACTAAAATAATTGATAGACAAAGCAATATACAAAGAAGACAAGTCGAAGAGGAGCGATCCTTCTGGTGGAGGTGGGTGGTTGATAAAGTAGGTAAGTAATCGACTAATTGACGGCATCTCACGAGAGACCCTACAGTTAGCCTATTATTTTCTCTTTTCTGTAACCACCCGTTTCAACCAATAAGATCGCTCCATTTTTCTCTGTCTTCTCTGTCTCTAAATTTTTCTAAAGACTTCAATGATCAACCTCCTGCGTCTAACAGTGAGAGGCAGGGCATCGATTTATCATTCATCAATTGGGTGCTGGAGCCGACTTGATTCTTTAATTGAGTCAACTCTTATCTAACGTCTAGTGTTGGGTGTCTAATGCGCTTGGCATTAAGAGCCAATGGCGCGGCGCATGACGGGATTGGCGGGGCTTGGAAAATCCCTTATCCGATCCGCGGGCAACGCGACTCCCCCCCCCCCCCCNTAAATGCCCTACATGCTCACTCAGCCGGGTCGGAGGATACTATCACTCTCGGAATGACTCCCGAGTCCAGACTTACGTATCCTGCTCGCATCTTGCCGCCTGCTATTCTGCCGTGCTAAGGAAGAACGCCGTATTAACATTCGAGAGTTGCCAATTTTCCTACGATAAAATGTTTATTTTTGAAGAAATCTATGGAATTTTTCCTTGAAATTTTCAGGGTATTCAGGTGAGATTGCGAACAAAATTATCTGAAAAATTGGAGGGAAAACGTTGACAAATTTTCCCGCAAATTCATGATTTATTTAAGGAAAGTTAGCAACACCTGAAGGCTCATACGGCGTTTTTCCTCAGCGCGGTAGTATTCAGCGACCTCGCCAACAAATAAAGCGGCCACGGGAAAGAGACGGGATGTATGAGGTTAAAGTGACTCGCTTAGATTACGTCACGTCCGATCCGGATTTTCCAAAGAATCACTAAAAAAGGTGCTACTTTAAGGTGAGCCTTTGGCGGCACCTATTAAAAAATTGGCCTCCGGCCAATTTATGCGCGGCGCAAGCGCCGCGTGTGGGGGCGGGAGGGGGGGGCTTCGCCCCCATCATGATGCGAGAATCGCACAACACTTTCTCGCTTTTGCCGATAGACACTTTTACTGGAATATTCAGAAAAATACTGCCAATTTTACAAAATCATAAAGTTTGATTCGAATTTTGATCGCAGGATAATAGTTATGAAATTTTTATTCAAACCACTGAACTTTATTGTAAATGTCTTCGCGATATGTGATGAATTCATATATTCGGACTCGACTTGTTGATTTTATGAGGCATCTTCAATTAAATATGTAATTGATTAACAAAGTCTCCTGTCAAGGACGGCGATCCGTAAAAATCTTAGCTTTTCTACGATTCATTAGGATCCATTAGATTCATTGACATCATACTTCCGATACGATTTTATATTATAATCTCTCATTAAGCACGGTCAAAAGCCATCAAATATCTACTTTAATGGGTAGAATGACTATTCGATGTTTAAATAGTCTTAAAACTAAACGGTTTTCGCTTAGCATCTCCCAAATTTTAGATTTGGCGGGCGAATCTACCTGCTGGAAGTTTCACCACACGCCCGCCAAGAGCGCCATCTCCTTACCGCGTATCCCCGTAGTTCAAAGCGAAAACAATAGAGAGCGCCATCCAATACCTCGCCATGC